TTTTTGTAATGGTGTGTAATTCCTTGAATTTCAATTTGTTGCAATGTGGTTACATAGCTGAACAATCATAAGAGGAAGTAAATTGTTGCATTGTCCATTCTGTATTCCTTGTTTCTGCCGTTCCGTTTTTTTTTCCCACTTCCCTCCTTTATTAGTGGCACTTGCAATTCAGTTAGGTTGGTTTGATGAACTTTTCTTTGTTCTGTATGGTGAACATGTTTGTCTGGACCTGATAATTCAGTGTTTAGTTCTTCCTTGATAGTTCTGTCATTTGGAATGTGATTGTTGGAATTTGGGTGCAGGGCATCTGACTTTCCCCAAGAGTACGATGGAGCTTGCCTACAGATGAGAATGTCCTACAGTCCAGCAGCTCACCTATTCCTTTTCTTAGTGCAGTGGACTGATTGCCACCTTGCTGGTGCCCTTGGATTGTTGAGAATTCTTATTTACAAGGTATGGATTGTTCATGTTCATGCATTGCTAATTCCTTCTATTTCAAGCTGTTTTTCATGCTGCAATAACGTGGCGTTGGACTGGATTTTTCTTTGGGCTCTAGGTTTATGTTGATGGCACCACAACCATGTCAGTTCATGAAAGGAAAGCAAGCATTAGGGAGTTCTATGGTGAGTTTCTACAATTTCCTTCATATTTACATTCATGTGAACTGTTAAGATAAATCAGCTATACTGAATAATGGTTGCTAATCATCATTAATCTTGTGCAGCTGTTATTTATCCCTCCTTACTTCAACTTGAAAGAGGTGTTACTGATTCAGAAGACAAAAAACAAAAAGCAGTTTGCCAGGAGAGATACAGGAGAAGAGATGATGAGGATTACAGACAATCTTCTGACTCGGATATTGAAAGGGAAGACGAATGTGGAATCTGCATGGAAATGAACAGCAAAATTGTCCTTCCCAAATGCAATCACGCCCTGTGTTTGAAATGCTATCGTGAATGGTATGTTTAATGTTGCAGTTTGTGTGAGATAGAAGATGTGTGTTAAGTTTAACTACTATATTCAATTTTCTATGATCGGTGGGCCTGGTAAATTTCGAGCCACTTCTGAAGACGTTAACTCTCTCATCCCACGCCAACTCCACATTTCCTTTGCACTCTTTCTAACCCCTTCATACACTTTAATGTGTTACATAACAGCTGCCGATTGCTACCTGGTGTGAGGTCCTGTGGGTGGTCCCTCTATCAGGTAGTCTGGGGTGAGGTCCTGTGAGTGGTCCCTCTATCAGGTAGTCTGGGGTGTTCTTTCTTTATTTATCAGGCTAGCTATTTCAAAGATGTCTAGGGCAGGAACAAGTTAATAGCTAGGTCTGGGTTGTTAAAGGGTTAGGTCAGTATTTAATTTCTTGTGTGCATGTTAGCCACATAACTTAATGATACAAAAGTCTTTTTAGTAAAGCTGGTTCTTTTGTACCTTAGTTTTTGAAATTCATTATAGAGATGACATGCTTAGGAAAATGCCTGCATCTGTATCTCCCCTTCCTTTTGTATGGTTGGCAGTTTAATAAATTATGATAAATGCTTCAGATGGGTGTCAGTTTCCCCCTGTGTCACAGTATAGTTAAGCAGAGCATGGTAAAATGGAGCTACGTCAAGTGATATAGCTATATAGCTTAGGCTGGTCTGCTGTGTGTGCTTATACATTCTTCTTTATTGTTTTCATGTCTTTATGATGCAGTGCCCATGTGCAGGGGAAGTGCACTATCCTAAATTGTAACTATTATTTCATTTTATTGAGTATTATCAGTGTTAAATCTCTATATAAAACTAGCAGTCATCATCTTAACTATCTGTATTTAGGGAACATGTTACAGCCAGTGTGATTTTTCCTGCTAATCAGTAACTCTGAATTGTCTGAGAAGCTGGAGTGCATCTCTGCTCTTTCCCATCACCATAATACTGGGTTTCAGTGTCATCTTTTGAACATACTGATCCGAGATGTTTTTTTCTGAGAATCTCCCCTGCACGCGGGTGGCATGGAGAACATCACTAATAATTAGTCAAATGAAAAATTGGTGAATTAAATGCGAAGAGGCAGACCTCCACCTCCTAACTGAGCCTCCAAGTTTTTTTGCTTGATGATGACAGATTTTTGTACAATGTAGAGATCCTGCAGACACCTAGATGTGCTGCTATTCCGCAGATTGTGGGGGCTATTCACACAAACCTTGCAGCTAGGACTAGTTTCCTAGTCCATGTAAATATGCTTCATCCATTTAACCGCATTTGGAGTAGTCAATGATATTAGGTAAAGATATCTCTACAGTCCTAGGTTGCTGCCGTTCCATGGGGGATGTTTCTTAGGAGAAGTGAGATAACAGGTTTCCCATGAAAGGGCCGCACTTCCAAGGGGTGTTATGTTGACAGCCCATTATAATGGAAACATTAGTGGCTTGTTCGATGGCTCGAACCGTGATCTATAGATCACACGGAGACAACTTTACCATTGCGTCTTACAACCTAATGGGAAATTATTAAGAGGGAAGAAAGGGAAAAGCACAGTGGCGCATTTCTGCATTCTGAGTTTGTTAAATTGATTCGAAGCTGCAGCAATCTCCTAAATAGTGGAGTATTAGAAATTATTAATTTCCTGTGACAAGCGATATATGGAACTTAGTAGTACCATTTTCTCGTTAAGGCCCTCTTTGGGGAGAATAGCAGCTCTTGCTGGCGGTCAAGTACTTTCTTTTTTGGGTCACTATTGCACTCTTTTCTACTAGGGCGTTGGTACTTTATTACTCTGCAAAATATGTATATTCAGCATTTTATCTCCTTTCTGTACGGCTAATTTTGCTTGTACAACTACTCAAACTGAGAGTTATCTAATACAATGCATTGCAGGCGTTCGAGGTCACAATCATGCCCTTTTTGCCGCGATAGCCTTAAAAGGGTAAACTCTGGTGATCTGTGGGTATACATGGACAACAAAGACATCGTGGACATGTCAACGATAACAAGGGAGAATCTGAGGAGGCTATTCATGTTTATAGATAAGCTGCCCTTGATCGTTCCAGATAATGTTTTTGATCACTATGATACTCATATAATGTAGATGAACAATGCTTTCATTGGGGGGGATTGAATCATACTAAAGATCAAGAAATTGGTCTCGCTAGATTTAGAAATGCAGGTGGATTACTTTTATCACCTTCTGATTAGAAGAACCCGACCGAGTCATCGTGGTGCAGGGGTTGAAGCCAAGTTAGATTAGCCAAAAAAATGGAGCTTTTTGATTGTACCTCCTAATTTGTACATGCCTGTACAGTTCCAGTTTAACTTCTTGAAAACACAAGTGTACCCTTTTGTTGTTTGTTTTCTAATCTTCGAGTATGCCATAAATACCAGCATTTGAGCTATCTCAAGTGCAGAGTTTTATGGTTGCTATTTATAAGAGTGTATAATTTATGATGTATTTAGTTACCAATCTGCAATTTTCCCTTTTTTTTTGCAAGCATTTGAAGTAAGGTATTGCTGTTAATTTCTTACCCAAGGATATGAAATGGTTCAGAAAATGAAAAAGTTCGCATAGGATTTTCACTAGGGCATCTCAACCCTACATTCTATTTTACTCTCTAAATATAGAGTTCTCTATTTTTTCATATAATCAACTCTAACCCAATTCTCTATTTTACTCTCTAAAAAAGAATATTCTTTTCTCTCTTCAATATTATATTATTATTTCTATTTCATTTTTGTTTTCGTATTCCATAATATAAATCTTTCCTTTTTTTCTGAATAATCATCCTATATAATTTCATGTAATATAAAATTTTAATTTTTTGAAATTTTTTATTTAATATTAAATTATATTTTATTCTAGATTTCTAAAGAAACTACGAATAATTGAAAAAAGAAATCAACAAGCACAATCGCAATCACAACCACAACTTCTCTAAATCATACACTAATTCCTTTTTCGAATATCGTTAAATCTAGAAACGACCTATCGATTACTAAATTATTGTTGTGATTTTTAAAATTATTATGTTATGCATTGTATTGTATTGTTATCTTGTATTTAAATTATTATGTTATGTATTATATTTTTAAATTAAATTTTTTATCTCATCATTTAAATTTTGTGCATTCTTCATAGTGGAAATTAATAATAACATCAAATTGTATCACAAAGTGACGAAAATTTTAAAAAATATTTAAAATATTATTAATTCGAGATGAAAGTAGTATATATAAAATAAAATATTTTTAAAAATGTTATATTACATTTAAAAAGAACTGTAAATATTAGAGATTTAATTAATAGCCTTATATGAAAACTAATATGTTAATTACAAAATAGTATAAATAATAATATAATATTCAAAAAGTGAAATAGTAGTTCTCCAAATTTGGAGAACTACTGTTCAACTCTCTATAATTGGAGAGTAGAGGGTAAATAGAGAGTGGTTGGAGAGGACATTCTCTATTTTACTCTCCAAATATAGAGAATGGAGAGTAAAATAGAGTAGGGTTGGAGATGGTCGGGTTTAAAATACAAAGAAGTCGAAAGGAGTATAATATGTAATGGGATGGAACTGTAGGCCTTTTAGCAGGGTTATGGTTAGCTCTTTCATTTCCCTTTTTTCCTTTCTTTTCTTTGTTCAATATTCAATAATTTACTTTGACAATAACATACATATCCAACATATATAATTCACTGTGATACCACTTAAAACATAAAAGTTGCAAAACAATACTATTATTTTAAATATACAAATATGGTCTCATCTGTTTCTAATAAAAACTCATTCTTAAGCAATTGGAGAAGCTACATAGCATAACCAATACTGCCTAAGCAGTATATCCTTAGTCCCAATCACCAAACTTCAAGTTCAATATTTCAGTTGTGCTTACTAATACTGCCTCAACAACCTTTTTCTTTCCTTAAAGGAAAACTTCATTCACTTCAGCTTTCTGCAAAAACTGGAAAACTTTAGTAACATAAGAAGCCAAAAAAAAAAAACAAGTTACAAGATTTTTCAATTCTAACAATTGAACAAACCTTTTGTCTTCCAAAACTCAAACATTCTTGTAGACAGAATGTGGTTCAATATGAACTGGTTCACCAATAACATATGGATACAGAGGATTTGGTGGCAGTTCCGGAGGGCGAAGAAGTGGAGCTGATGGTTCTGCATATTCACCTTCATACTCATGACTATTTTCCTTAACTTGCCCAAGAGTTCTTAGAATTGTAGCCAATAAGATACAACACCCCTGCTTTGATCAGTTCTTATTTATTAAGAATCATGTAACTAATTTGAGCCAAGAAAAAACATACTAAAATTCTTGAAGGTGGTTGCTTTTATTTCTTACCTGTGTTAGAACACAGAGCAGGGCAATCCATTGGCAGATATCGCTATTCGAGTCCACAAAATCCTTGAAATCATCAAACCTTCCTGATGGATCTTCTGGTAAATCCTGATTTAGGTAAAACATAGTGAGAGCATTGGAGAGAAGCAATTGTCCAAGCCTTGGCGGGACAGAGTTACCACCCGGTACATAGAAGTTTTAAGTTGTACAAACACATCTATTCGTGAAAAAACATGACTATTATGAAAATGAAAAGTCATTTCTATAAGAAAAATCTGCAGGTATAAACATGATCTTTGTTGTATCCTGAAGGAAATTTCTTGTATTTTCCCCAATCTGTATACGAGTAATATCTCTTTAAGGAAAGTCTATTCTTTCACGCCTCAAAGTCATTTCTTCTTCAATTATATTTTCCTACTTTTCTAATAAGCTACCCTATGGAATTAGTCGAGGTGTTGCAACAAGGTTGTTTTGTTGATGTCCTGATCAATAGAATACAGAAAGATAAATTTGAATATAACAATATGATATAGGATTTCTTAGATGCATACCTTCTCCCAATCAGAGTTCAAGAAAACATCAGCTGTAATTGCAATCTCTGCTAAAAGAAGAACAAATATGATGAACATATACTATAAGTATAGTTAAGGTCCATTCTTTTTTCTCTCTATGCAGTTTCTTTTTTTCCAACAACCAAAAATAAATTTCCTGAAAGAGTATATATGAGAAATATAAAGAAAAAGGATACAAATGAGAGGCAATAGGAGTTGGAAGAGTTTGCTGCAACATGACCAAGGAAAGTGATTGCACACAAAGCAGTGCCAACACCAAGAAATGCATGGATAAACCTGTCATTATTTCACCACTGTGAGTATTAGCGCAGATTCCTTCATTGGAAAATTATACTGTATTGTAAAATAAAAAAGAAAGTTAAATACCCAAGTTTCTTAGTTGAGAACTCACCAAGGAAATTGAGCATAATCAGGGGATGAAGGTGAGTTGGCTGCATCGCGCTGCCAAACTCTAATCATCCATATACCATAAATAAGCATTGCAATGCCCATAAATCCTATTGTTATGTTTGTGATCTTGAGGGATAATCGCAGGCAACTCTTTACAAGTTTTACCATCTTGAACTTTAAACAGAAACTGTTTCATTCACTTAGGAGGGGAAATAGAAGAGCACTTGCTAGGTAAATAGCTCTTTATGTTTGAAAGGATACTTTGAAGAATGCATAAAAAAGCATATTGATGTGATTTACAACTGTTTGGATTCTTGATTTTTAAGAAATAATAGTGATGGTGACATGCCTAGATATGCAAAAATTGCCCAGATAGGCCAAGAAAAAAAAAGGAAATTTCCAAGAAAGAGCTTATTGTTATCTACCAAGTTGGAGGACCTACTGAATTATGAGTAGCTTGTTTAGCTTATATAAACCCAAAATGGATCTTTGTCCAAAGATGTGGTCAAGGATAAGAACTATCTAATTTCAAATGTTCATGATAACAACATCACAAGATTTTAAAGGAGAGCTAGGGATATATTATTGACAAAATTATTCAATGTAGATATTATGTTTATATCCACAACTAATAGGAAAAGATAAAAGATCTGTCACGCCCAAAACTCAAGGGGCGCAACTGACTCCTAAAGCCAAAACTCAGGCCCGAGCCGACCCTGCTGAACCATTTGCTACTAGCGCATGGCAATCACATGCAATTAAGAAAACAAACAAGTATATCTCGGCTTAAAACTAAGCCCTCGGCCGGCAAGGCCCCTGTCAATAGATCTACAAAAAAACCAGCTACTCCCAAGAGTCATATAAAGAAATATCCAACTAGCACAGAAGTCCTGATTGGGCCATCGAGGCCACCATGATATCTATACCAAAACTAAAAACAGGTAAATATCAGTACAATACATCAAACAGCTCACAAGCTTCAGCAAACCAACAACATAGGCCAGCATGGCCATAACGTAGCTATAAACCCCACACACTAGTCTGCAAGCCTCTAAGAGTAGTAAAGATTGGTGGGACAGGGCCCCAGCCTACCCATGAGAATAAATACAACAAAAGGTAACAAACCTCCCAACTCTGGCAGCTCCGGAGGAAAGGGGCTGACCAATCGGATAAAAGTCAATCATGCTGATATGGAGGTCTACTCGGTCATCTGTCAGGACCTACATGCATGAATGCAGCGCCCCCAAGGCAATGGGGCGTCAGTACAAAATAATGTACATAGTATGAAAGGCAATAGACTATGATGAGGTATCCTGATATACTGGAATAATCTGATAAATAAATTAAGGATAAGATAATTGTACTGACCTGCTTCTAAATCTAAATTTATCAAAAATAATAAAACAACAACCTAACCAAGCCCCCATAAGCTCGGTAGGTACAAACAGCACACAAGACCACCTACTCAGGCCCCCATAAGCCCGGAAGGTGCCAATCAGCCTGTATACCCCTATCGGTAGTCCCCTAGCCCCGCAGGCAGTCACATAGCCCTCTTAGGCATCAACATATCTTATAGACAACTCATAGCCCTCTTAGGCAACAACATGGCCCTGTAGGAAGCACATAACCTTCTTAGGTGTCAATATATATCCTTGTAGGCAACTCATAGCCCTTCTAGGCATCAATATAGCCCCGTAGGCAACTCATAGCCCTTTTAGGCATCCATATAGCCCTGTAGGCAGAACATAACCCTGCTAGGCATAGATCACATTCTTGCAGCTAACAACAATAGCCCAAAGGCAACAATAACAATCCAACAGCTAAAAGTGAGCAATTTAGTTATAGGCAACCTATACAAATAGCCTCTAAGTCGTGTCCAACATACGAATGTTACTACTGAATAAGAATCTCGATAAGAGAAGATTATACGCACTCGAGCAGCCAACAATCAACAATAATAGCTATAAGTATAACAACGATAACAACTCAATTACATTGCTCCTAAGCTTTAAGGAAACATGCCATAGGAAGAGAATAGCCTTAACATACCTTTTTCGCTAAATTCACGTGGCCTAAAGACTTTAACTCATAACTCCCTCGATACTACAACAAGGTAGGACCATAATCAACACACAAAATAAAAGATAACATGACAATACAATAAAAGATATGTATTTTCGTCGCAAATTGCTATTTGCTGCTTATAAAAGCTAGAGTCGATGAAAGAAGGGTCTTAGCTCGATCTTAGGTTCGTAATTCACCTCAAAACCTTCAAATATATTCAAACCCCTGCTGTCCCAACACTAAAATGTGATATGCTACGCAATCGATAAAACAAATTATACCACGATGTTGAGCCCAACGCGTAGAACAACTTTCGTCGAGAAAATCTATATTTCACTTGATCCTAAAAATGGGTTTCTATGTTTTCTCTGTATATTTAGCTTAAAATGAAGAAAAAATTCGAAAAAGAAGATATATACAACTTTCCACCGACCTAGGGCCCCACCTCACGTGCCTGCTTGCGCAGTCCCACGAAAATGCGAATATCTCTCTATTTTGAAGTCGTATGAATGAACGGTTTGATGCGTTGAAAACTAGACTAGTAGACCTTCGATTCAATAGTTTGTGGGCCCCATAAATCTTTATAGATTGGGAGAAAACCTCCAAGACATTTGACCCAAATTTCAGAGAAATCTTTAAGATGAAACTTACGATAACTTCCGCCAACTTTTATTTTGCCACTTACCTAACTTCAAAACTTGAGATGCAACACTCGAACACTTAAAATAGGACATACCACATCATTCTTAATTTATTACTCACCCTCCTTGTCTTTCCACAAAGATACGAGTTAATTTAGACCTTTTGAAAAGTCGGGGTGTTACATTCATCATCATGGTAATATAATATTATGTTTGTGTAAGATTGACAAGGCTCTTTTAGGCTATCAATAGTTTTGACGGTGATTTTAATCCCATTATTAGTACAGATCACAAGATGTCGAAAGAAGGAAGTCGAAGCACAATGAATACACACACCCACAACAAAATTCATGTACAAGTCAAACTGGGAATAAATATATAGACGGACGACAACTGATGAAATCCTTCATCTAAATGAAGGCCGTCTGAAAAGAAGAGTTATTGCTTTTGACGACGAAGAAATTCCTTCATCTCAGTCAAAATATCAGCTTTAACAACGAGACGCATTCGCTTAGAGTCCTCCCACAGTAATCCTCCATATTCTCTGGCAAAATCACAGGCAGCCTCAAAGACATCCTAAAAGTAAGCAATAACAATTATGTTTAAGCAAACAAACATTAAAAAGTTATATCAAAATTAAGGTTGCAATGCAAATATCATGGTGCTTGACACTCACTTTAGAAGGGAATTCATCGTAAAAGTGGGCTGGCTCCATCTCAACCCGATTCAGATCAGATTCCCACAATCTAATCTGGCATGAGAAAGTGGTAGTTGAATTAGATAATTGGACAAGGAACTTTTTTTCCAATAAATCTTTTCATTGGTCTATCTTTGTCGATGGATTGGTTGAATAGATTTTGGTCGGCCATAATTATGGGAACGTGTGACTAGTCAAGTACAAATTCTATAAGAGTCAATTAAATGTAGTGCAATTAGAGTAATATTTGGTTTTTAAAGCTGTCTTTCAGTTTCAACACTATGAGAAATAGTGAAGGAACCTGATCAGTAACATTCTCCGGCACAGATGGTATCCTCTCTGCAACCCTAGGATGTGCATTCTGCTGAAGGAAAGAAACTATCTGCAATCCATGCATTAAATCACAACAGCAGTCAAAACTTAACTTCAAGCGGAAGAAATTGTAGAGTAGCTGCTCAATTTGTGTTGTATAACTACATCCATACAGAATACTTCATAATATATCACTTGAAACATTTTGACGAATCACCATGACAGATTGTTCCCCATCTAATTCAATGTATTTGATAACTAAGGATAGGATAATTAGAACTCGAATATAAACCACTCCAGATAACTCAAGCAACGGTTTCCATTATGTCATATTTAACTCTTTCTAATTCATACAGAATCCTAAATGCGGTAGTTCAGTAAGAACTTTAGCACCAGAAGCACAATAGGTTCCAGTAATTCCATTAATGCATTCAAGAGTGTGCTAATTTTGAAAGGTGTATAACTACTATTAAACATGATAAGTGGACTAAAGGACCAGAAACAAAACTATAAAAGGACCTTTTCTGAGAGGAGTGCAACTAATCAACATCTATCAACTAGCCCACGAGATTTCTTTCTTAAGTGTAGCTGACGAAGAATTATTAAAAACATCCAACAAAAATGTCCCACATCATCAATCTTAAGCATTCCACATCTTCATCAAAAAAAGAAAAAATCTTCAACAAATATGGCACTCCACATGCAGTTGCTTTCTTAGATAATTTTTTAATTAGTTCTCTGATATAAGACGATGCTGGTTAATAAATAAATAGCAGCTGAAACTTGCCTGCTCAGAAGTAATGCCGTTTTGAAAAGCTTTATACAAACTTTCTTTATTAATAGCACCAACAATGAGATTTGGAAGCTGGTATTCCACCCTGTATTTGCAGCTAAAATTTGTTACTTAGAAATCTAACCAGAGAAGTTGATGAAAGAAATCTACTACTAGAAAATAAACACTCAACAGCCAAACACAGAGTATTAGGCATAACACATTTATAATTGGAATCAAGTTCTTATCTCAGAAGGGGGAAGAAAGAGAGAAGCAAAAGCTCAAACAACCATCCCTATAAGCATTCTACACTTTAAACATGTCATCCACTTTCCAATAGCTCTGCTGAAATTCTTCAGCTTATCAACTCCAAACAATATTAGCAAGTATAGACCCTATTTAATCCAAACTCCAAGCATCAATGATTGTGTTTACCCTGGCCAATTCTGACACAGATTTGAAAGTGTCCCATTCTTTTTGGTGACATCTTCTGCATTGAGCCAGTAGGATGCACAATCTCATTCATCATTTTTTATCTACATAACTAGTTCTTTCCTTTTTTTCAGCAGGAGGGATGTGTGTGTAATTAGATCCAGATTGGTAGCATTTATTGCATCTGATACTCCAAAATCTAGGGGAAGCCAACTCTCTAGTATACTCCAGAGTCCAGAATCTAGATAAGCCTTGAAGTCTGCATCACAATTGTTTAATATATTGCACATGCATGATGAATATACTAAAATTTGACTC